TCAAGACGGGTAACATTTAACCACACCTTGGAGCGCTTCTCTACCGCCATCTCCTCCGTGTGTTGCTGCATGTAGCAGCTGCGTGTGTTGTGTGTGTGTGTAAACTGCCCCGCCCCCTCGCACACAGACAGGGGAGAGAGAGATCTGGTCTGGATTGGAAAGGTTGAAAATACACCGACCATAGACGCATTTGTTTGTCTTTTTGCATGTTAGAAACGAGTTGGCGACACTAAAACTGCGAGATAAGGTTTTTGTAGCAATAATAAATGACCTTTCTCTTTCTAAACTCGCTACTCGGAGGGAAGTCGCTGTCATATGCCTTGTAAACGCTCCGATAATGCCTCTCCACGTTACCTTCCTTTGGCAGAGCAACGCTTGCTTTACAAATAAGGCAAATAACCTTTGAATGTGACAATGACATCACAAAAAAATATTCTTCCTCCCATTCTGTGTGGAAGTGATATGTCTCCAGCTTTTTGATCGGTCCCGCACTCATTTTGTTGTTTGTCTCTTTAACTCAATTTGAGTTTTCCCGGCACTTGACTGATTTTGTATCGCTTTGCATTCTGGGTTAACAGACTGGAAAGCGATAGGTCGCTTTTTCTGTCAATCAAGTAAACTCCTGAATTAAGTGGCAGGGAGGCCAAGGGAGGAGGGATCAAAACCTGTTTTGTCTATTTTAACGAATGAATGACTCGCGATCTACCAGCATTGCCCCCGCGGTCGACTGGTCGACGTACTGGGCACCTCTGAGTTAGAGGATGCTCACACATATTGGTAGGCAGTAAGCCATGAGGCTCTGCTTTGTAGTGATTTCAGTGCGCTCAGGAGGGATTGCTTGGCACAACGACAAGTGGAGTGTGATCAAAACAATCAATTTTATCCGTTGGTAAAATAAAAAAGATGGACGATGCCTGAAATTAGTTTTCCTCTTCCATCCATCGGGTTCACACCCTTTTATGAGGTGTAACTCTTTGAAAACAAGCCACAACCTCCTTTTGAGACAGACTACCATCACAGAACACACTAAATGGAAAAGAACCATGAGTCAGATTATCCAAGAGCCAATAATGAGTTCATAAAGTCCTAGTCTCTCCAACACAGGGAGCCAGTGAAACTGAAGCACTGACTGACAGTGACCGTGATGCGAGGGTGACGCTGACTCAGCAAAGTCTGATGGTCAGCAAATTTAAACAAACAAGCACAGTGTTGAGTTTTCTCTGTGTGTTTGTGTGTGTGCTGTCAGACTGTCGTGTTTGTGTGTGTGCTGCAGTTGGCTAATGAGCCAATAGGCTTGGTATGTGCTGATGAGCGCTGTGGCTGGACAGCATAATAAAAGAGGGAGAGTCAGTAACACCAAAGTAACTATGCACTACGGAGTTTTTGGTGCATGTTTTTTGGTAGTCTGTTGTATGATAATATTATTGACAGTAGTGACTGTTTTATTGACTGTCAAAATATTTCCCTGCAATAACTTAAGAAACTTCTGTCAACCACATGACATTATTTAGTAAATCACTTGTGTGTTAAGTACAAACACAGTAAGGTCCTGAAACAGGAATAAACAGAGATGCTTTTATAGTATCACTTTGTACTGAATGCTTTGCTTGCTGACTGTCTCTAACCTATCATGTGTGTCTGCATGATTAACTCCATTGCAGGTTACATCCTGAGCTTGGTGCTCCTGACTCTGCCGCGCCAGCACCTGGTGAAACTCTACCTGTATGTCCTCACGGCCCTGCTGCTGTTCGCTGGTCACCAGGTCTCGAGGTACACACTTACATATAGACCCATATTCTTCAAGTGTTTTACCCACAGAATATAAGAGTTGTTCTTCTGCTAGTTTAGATGAATAGCTAGAAAACGTGGTAGATAATAAGTCACAATAGACTTTCCTGTAAATTGATCATTTTGAACTTTGTTTTCAGGGATTATGTCCGCAGTGAACTAGAGTCTGGCTTTGAAGGACCTGTCTACCATGAACCCCTTTCCATGAACAGATTCACCACTGCGCTCATAGGTATAATATGATGCGTGAAGACGCTGTATGCATCATTCATAAACATTTGCACGTTTAGGTTATTCTGCAGCACTTTGTTTCCCCTCTCATTTGCTACTCATGCATCAGGAAGGACTAGAAAAGTATTGGGAAAAAAGTATAACATTGATCTTCTGTCACTTGTAGAACTGCAATAAAGTGAGCGACACAATTTAAACCCAAGTCTCTGACTGCAGAAATCCATCCTCTATAAAGAAGGCACGGAAATCTTAGGAGAGTTGCAGCAAATTGCTCAGCTATATTAAAAAGCATCTCTTAAAGGTCATACTGTTTGACTTGGCAGACATCCTTCTGATCACCAACTCCTAGCCTTAATGCTGTGGAAGCTGGTCCGTGTTGAATTGATCTTACTGCAGAGAAGATGTGGAGTCTCCTGTGCTTTAAAAAGAGAAAACTGAGTTCTGATTTCACTGCATAGTGAAAGCTTGAGCAAGCACAAATAACATAGTTACAGTGACAGAGATATAGCGCTGCGGAGAGAGAGAGAGAGGGGGGGCGGGGGTGTATTTAAATATGTTGCTTAATATGAGAGTGGTTTATGTGTATGCGCAAACTTCATCCTCTTTCTTCCTCTCAGGTCAGCTGGTGGTGTGTACTCTATGTTCCTGTGTGATGCAGACCAAGAGGATTTGGCTTTTTTCCGCTCACCTCCTCCCTTTGGTGGCCAGACTGTGTCTGGTGCCGCTGGAGACCATCGTCTTCATCAATAAGTTCTCCATGATCTTCACAGGCCTGGAGGTCATCTACTTCCTGGCTTCTAATTTGTTGGTACCATATAACCTGGCCAAGACTGCCTACAGGGAGCTGGCTCAGGTAATATCCGAGTTATATGGCCCGATGTTTCCATCTTTCTCTGTTTTCCTTTAAATCATATAGTCCTGAGAGATTTCCTCACATTTAATATTAATGTCATTCATTTTTTTCCCTACCGCCTCCCTCTGTCCCCCAGGTGGTGGAAGTGTACGGGCTGCTCGCGTTGGGTATGTCTCTGTGGAACCAGCTGGTACTTCCAGTTCTCTTCATGTGTTTCTGGCTCCTGCTATTCGCATTGCAGATCTACTCCTACTTTAGCACCAGAGACCAGCCTACCTCAAGGGAGAGGCTCCTTTTCCTCTTTCTTACCAGGTAGGACCACAACACTGTTCACCCTGTGTGGAGCACCACAAGAGAAACCAGTCTCTAGAGTGTGTTCTGTAAATAAGCAGACTATGATGGATTATGATGGTATTTGCCTTGTCTTGTAACCATTGTTTACTCCCCTTCTTCTGTCCCC